CCCCGGGCCCAAGTGGCAACGGATTTTCGCAGCGGAGCTGCAGGCTGAAGTGCCCCCCCTCTCTCCCGAGGGCCTTCTGGAACGACGAGTGCGCGCGCGGTTCGTTCCTACTCTTGGCAGGGGGGGAGGTGGACTGGGAGTTCCTTCGAGGGCGCCTGCGGGACGCGCCCCCGTCGTGGCCCCCCATCACGTTGCGCACCTGGCCCGGCGCCTGGATCACAGGATGCCGCATGCAGCGCTTGCAGCAATGCATCTTCGGTTGCGACGTCCCTGGGACGGCGACCCACTACCTCTGCCACTGCCGCCGTCTCCACTATCACGCTGCCATCGTTCTCCGCTCCGATCTTCCTTCGTGTGTTCTGGCTCGTCTCGGTCTCAGAGGTGATTTCGTCTTTGTCATTGCTATGTATCATCTATTTCGTCTTGCTGCGGCCCGCGCAGGGAGGACAGGTCATCCCCTGCTCCTTGAGGAGGCCGCGGCGCTGCAGGCCCCAGCCCGTATCGCGCTCCGACTTCCGTTACGTCACCGCCAGTCACTTTTCCTCGATGCTGGCATGTTGAGGCGGAGAGTCGTTGAGCTGCGAGTCGGGGTGTAAGTTGACAGACATCGAGGAGAACGCTGTGCCTCCTCCTCCCCCTCCTCCTCTCCCTCCTCCTTCTCCTCCTCCTCCCTCACTTTCTCCTTTTGTATCCTCCTCATCCCCCTCCTCCTCCTCCTCCTCCTTTTCCTCCTCCTCCTCATCCTCCTCTTCATCATCATCATCATCATAATCAGAATCATCATCATTATCATTGCCATCATCATTATCATCATCATCATAATCAGCATCATCCTCATCATCCTCAGACAGCACCATCAACAATATCAACACCATCATCAGCATCATCATCAGCAACAGCACCACCACAATCATTATCAGCATCATCATCATTACCATCATCATCAGTAGCATTTTCATAATCATAATCATCATCAGCATCATCGTCAGTTCCATCATCATCATCATCAGAAGCACCGTCATCGTCATCGTCATAATCATCGTTATCATCATCACCACCATCATCATCAACCTCAGCTGCACCATTATCAGTATCATGATCTTTGTCATTATGGTTACCCGAATCATCAACATGTTCATTATCAGTACGATCATCATCACTATCGTCACCATCGCCACCATAATCATCAGCATCATCATCATCGTCATCGTCCTCATCGTCCTCATCGTCATCATCATCATCATCAGCATCATCATCAGCATCACCATCGTCATCATCATCACCTTCATCCTCATCATCAACATCATCATCATCAGCATCAGCATCATCAGCATCATCATCAGATTCTCCCCCTTCTCGTCAACCTTATCATCCTTCTTCCCCTCCTTCTACCCATCCGCCTTACCCCTATCATCCTCCTCCCCCCCCGTCAGTTCGAACTGGTATTCTCGCTGCCCCATATTCTTCATTGCTCGGGGCCAGGACGAGCCCGCACAGCGGGCGTTTTGGACCTCCGCGCCTACGGAACGCGGCGCTCCCTCCCGGCTGACATATTCGTGCGCTCTGCTTCCGCGGACGGCCGATTCGATTCGAACCTGTCCTTCCCCCCCCCTCCCCCGTCCATCCTCCCACCCCCTTCTGCTGCCCCCCTGCTTTTGCCGTTTTACGGCCGAGGGCGGCCCAGGCTCGACGCCTGCTGAGGTTGCCCTGTGTTTTGGCTTCCTCGCGCTCGTGGAGCCTGGTTGCGCCAATGCTGCTAATCCTGCTAATCCACCCCGACGTTGTGCCTTCCTGGCCACAGCGTCGGAGTGACCGGGGAAGATCTTCATTTGGCGGACGGAGGGTCAGGGCGGATGCCTATTACTCCACCTCCTCGCTCTCGGCGAGCGTCAGCTCGAAGCCTTTGTTGTACTGTCGTCAACCTACGGTCAGGAATTTTGTCGCGCCGCCGATATTGAGCCCATCAAGCTTCGGCACGACACGGCATCGACGTCCCCATTCCCAGAGGTCAACGTCCCGAGCTTTCAAGAGCCTCCCGCCCCGCGGAGCGGAGCGACACGCTATCCGCTCGCAGAGCATGCAGCATAGCGTGTCGCCAGGGCCGCCGCCGCAACACGTTATGCAAAAAAACCTGATCGCAAAGTGGGGCCGCGCATCAAGACACCAGATGCATTACATCAGGGTGCCTTGGGTTTCTTCGTTTCGCGCGCTGCGCGGTGACCTCCCGCGTCCGTTGCAAGAACTTGCTGCGTCCAGGGTGCTATGGGCTTCTCCCCAGTCGCACCTCGCGCGATGGTCTGCAGTTCTGGGTTTTTTTGGTATGGTTTTTCGCGGCCGCGTCCGCACCGTCGTCATTCCCTCCTCATGAACCTTCTGCTCCCGCGCGCGGGGAGGGTGTGGAGGAGGAGGAGGAGGAGGAGGAGGAGGAGGGCGCTGTGGAGGAGGACGAGGGCAAAGCAGCTGCCCTCCAGAGGAGGTGGGGGGGAGGAGTAGGATTCAGCCGCTGCACCCCCTCCACGAGTCATCGCGGTCAAGCCTGGCAAGCGCACCACCACGAAGCAGAACACGGCCACCGCGAGGAGGTACGCCACGAAGATCAGTTGAATGAGAAGATCGACTATGCCAAGGTGCCGCCGAGTACGGCACTGATGTATGGTTGGCTCTGTTGCTGCTGACACCGCCGAAGGGTTTGCACCTGTCCAACGACGTACGTTCTGGGCGGCCACATCGTCATAACACTGCCGTCGCGAAGACCTTTAATGAGATCATTGCAGTCTGGGCACCTCGCCAAGTCGCACACGACACACAGGATGGCACGGGACCCTGGCGCTGAAATGCCATCGCAAACATCACATTGACACGACGTATCGCAGTGCGTGCACACAGGCCTAGGGCACCCGGAGCCGTCATAGGTCATGCACCCCGTGCACCGATCGTTAGACGGGTCCTCAGCTGGCTCAGGAAGATCAGGGCGATCAGCAGGGCCAGGGGTGGACCTAAACGGTGTTTTGGCGATTTCGTGGGCCGTTTTCGTTTCGATGTCGTTTTGCGGTAAAGGCGAATTCAGTACAAAACGAGGAAAAACGAAATCAAAACGAAAACGAAAAACACTGTTTAGGTCCAGCCCTGAGCAGGGCCAACGCGACAGGCATTATCCAGAACTTCCTCCACGTTCTGCACCTCCGCCTCGCTGGACGGTAGGGGCTCCCACATGCCCGACGGGAGGAGGCTCTCCTCGCCCTCGTGGGGCGCCTTCATGGCCTTCGTGTCCTGCCTCAGCATTTCGGCAATCAGCTCCTCGCTGGCAAGCACATCCAGATTCAATGCCGAGGGCAAGAATTCCGCCTGATCCTCAACCTCGGACTCATGCGGAACTGTGGCTCCCAGGCGCGGCCCGTGTTGTGCCTTGCGCAGGTCGGCCGCCGACGCGTTGAGGATGTCGACGCCTTCCGCCAACGAGTGCCACGCTACGTTTCGGCGTAGCGTTGCAACCCGCTAGGCTTACCACCGGCGACAGCCGCGAGCAGCCCCGGTATCTCAGCCAAGATGCGCCTCGCCGTGGCGTGATCGGCCCCGAGCAGAAGACTAACAACATGCAAGAGGTGGTCGTACTTCTTCCGAAGCGTCTCCGCCTCCCCTTTGAGGTTGAGAATGGCTCGGGCGGCCGAAAGGCGAGCTCGGGCACGCCTCTCCTTACGATCGGCAGCAGAGAGCCGGGGGCGCGCATCCGCGCCCATCCCGTAGACCGTTCCTCCGTGAGCCAAAGCCCTGCTCCCCCAAGTCCCTCACGCCCGCCGCAGTGCCCCGTGAGCCTGAGGTTGCAGGGTACGTCGAGGGACAAGGTCTACAGACAAAGCCTGAGCCAAAATGGCTACGGAGGGGGTAGGAGGAGGAGGAGGAGGAGGAGGAGGAGGAGGAGGAGGAGAAGAAGGAGGAGGAGGAGGAGGAGGGCGAGGTGGTATGGGGGAGGAGGAAGGAGGAATGTAGTTACTGGCAGGTGGCCAAACCAGCACCGTGGTTGTAACCAGTTTATTGCATCGACACTGCGATGTGAGTTGCGAACCTGACCAGAGGAATAAGAGGAGTGAAACGGCGGGGTGAGGACAAGGGGAGAAGTAGGTGGAGAGGGGAGGGAGAAGATGGCACGGGAGAAGGACAAGGAACAACGAAATCCGACCAGGGGAGCGAGAAAGGTAACGGAGGGGTGAGGAGGAGAGGAAGGGGGAATTTGGAGAGTGGGAGGTGGGGAGGGGCGAGGAGGAGGTTGGGGAGGAGGTTTGAGATGATGATGATGATGATGATGATGATGATGATGATGATGATGATGATGATGATGATGATGATGATGATGATGATGATGATGATGATCATGATGATGATGATCATGATGATGATGATGTTGATGTTGATGATGATGATGATGATGAGGATGATGATGAAGATGAAGATGAAGATGATGATGATGATGATGATGATGATGATGATGATGATGATGATGATGATGATGATGATGATGATGATGATGATGATGATGATGATGATGATGATGATGTTGATGCTGATGCTGATGCTGATGTTGATGCTGATGCTGATGCTGACGCTGATGATGCTGATGATGATGATGGTGATGGTGATGATGATGATGATGATGAAGATGATGATGATGATGATGGTGATGATGACGATGATGATGATGATGATGACGATGATGCTGATGCTGATGCTGATGCTGATGCTGATGATGCTGATCCTGATGAGGAGGAGGAGGAGGAGGAGGAGGGAGGAAGAGAGGGGGAGGTTGTGGAGGAGAAGGAGAACGAAGAGATGGGCGCCGACCCTGATTTTCGTAAGGACGACACTGTAATAGGCAACGATGCAGAACAACATGTTCAGTAATTCATCAATGTCTGGGGTCAGAGGGCTTTCTGAGTTAACCACAGGACCTCCTGCTGCTTGACGTCACTCCTCTCACGCTCGGCATCGAGACCGTCGGGGGCGTG